GATACAACGCTGATAGATTACCACGAATATTATTACGCAATACGTTAACACGTGAGAAATAGCAGGTCTCTCGAGAAAGAAACTTGTAATATGCGATATGCGTAGCGTAGATCGGGGATCACGTTTAGGACCAGCAAGTACGATCAACTGATCGACCAACGCTCATTTTCCACTAACTCTGGTAACTTTGCTCTCGACACAGTTTAGATATCTTGGAAAATCATTAAATCGACTCTTCCCTAGAGAGGAAAGAATAAGAGAGAGAGAGAAAGAGAAAAGAGAGAAACTATCATTTTAAAATGTAATCGAAACGAACCAATCTTAACAAATAAACGTAACTAAACTCGTTCTATTTCAGTGGAAACGGAACGGAGAGAGAGAGAGAAAGAGAGAGAGAGAGGAAAACAAGGGAAAAGGACCAATAAAAATTCTTACGCTTGTAGTAGCAGCAGCCTATGACGAGCCTTCCTCTTATCTCGGCGAACACGTATACACGTAATTTTCAAAGTGTCTCCATCTCTTGAATAATTGTTCGAAACTAAAGAACGTGGTATATTGTATATAATATACTATATAATAATCGGGTAAAATAATAATCGATAAACAATTTTTTTCATTATATCCCACTTTAAAATCAATATCTATGAAAATAAGTTTAAATAAACCCAGACGTTTGAATAAATCGAGTAAGCACACTGGCTATGTCGGATTAATTTCCAGTTTATGTCTCGACAAATATCTCGTAAAACCGAGAGAGTTATTTCATTTTAACGTCTAACGATATCGATTTCTTCCATGCTTCGATTCGTATCTGTAAGAATGTGGAAATTATATGGCGAATTATATTCGAATAAAAAAAAAAAGAAAGAAGGGAAAAAAAGGAATCGTTAAAGTTTAGAAATTAACGCGAAAGGGAAAGAAAAATTAAATAATTTTTTTCAATTTTTTTTTCCTTTCCTTTCTTTCTTTCCTTCTTTCCGTTCCCTCGTTCCCTCCCTTTAATCCTTTTCGAATGATTAAATATCAAATAGATCAAATCATTATAAAAAAAATATTATATTATATATAATATATTATATAAATATTATATTAACATATATTATAAAAAAGAACAAGGATAACGATTTTATATTTGCAAAAATTTGAATCTTTTTCGTACAGATTTACGAATTATCTGTTTTTTTTGGCTTCGGTTCAATTTTATCGCGATTCCTTTCCTTCCTTTTTTTCTCAACTAACGACTTTTATCACGTTACTGAACCAATACATCGATAATCGATAAATCGATGTATTTTAAAAAAAGAAAAGAACGATACAGTGTTCAAATCGATTTACACAATCGGAAACGATTAAAAGGCTACTTTTGCGAATGAACAGAATTTTTCTTTCTTTTTTGATATTTCTCACTCCCTTCCCTCATTCGTTTCCACAACTCCCTGTTTATCTTTTTGTTTAAACATTATTTTTCCAAATAATAAATAATTTTCAAAAGTTGCTCGAGATCGAACAATCGTCTCGAGATGTATCAATCAATCTTATTATTTCTATTTCCCTCTTTTATAACGATCATATTTGTTGCACGAGCAAGCGCCATCGTCTCAGGGATATTATTGAAATGGCTTATCGGCCTATGATTTACATACTGACCAACTATAGCGCAGACGGCGCCCTAAGAAAGGGATAAGTTATAAGCGTCGCAATAAACGGTAATAAGATTCTCGAATTCTCGTAAATAAGATGTAGGAGGACGAAATGAGAAAAGAAAAACGGACAAAATCGGTTTGCAATCTTAACTCGAGATTACGATTCATAAGAAACGATCTATTATTCCTTCTTGATTAATTTGAAACATTCTCTCTCTCTCTCATTCTTTTTATAAAAAAAATCAGAAAATCAAGATATTTTCGACAATAATACGTATTATATATTGTAATCAAGCCCGTTGATCGAAAATTATCGAAAAATTTCTTTCATGATTTATTTTTTTTTCATCCATATATTATAGCAATTTAAACATTTTTCTCGATTTTTATATATATATAATTATTATTAATATAATTATTTATATTTTTTATACGATATAAAAATTAATATTTTTCAATGAACGCAACACATCATAGTTATACATTTAAGAAATTGTTATATGTTGTTATCGAATACGTGACTACCGACCAACGAAATAGTATTTTCTCCCATGATCGTCCTCCCTTCATCTTTATTTATACATCCTTTACATTTGATTTACTTAATACTTTAAATTCTCATTCTCATTCGAAACTGGAAGAATTCGAGATTCGCGCGACTCGGATTCTGTCTATTTATCTTTTAATTGGGGAAGGAAATTAGGTGAAAGGGAAGATGAGAAAAAAAATCGAGGAAAGAAGAGACGGAGGAGACGGGAGGAAAAACGAAAGAAAAATGGATGAAATGTTGCGGTGAATCAACGCGTCGCGACAGCGGAATGTGGCAGAGGGTGCGCGCGTTAGCGTTACGCTCGTTGGTGGTTATCGAAACGATATACGAGAATCGAGGGTAGAAAGCTCGGATGGGGTAGAACACGGAACCGTTTCATTGGTCGAGAACCTTTACGAGTATTGCGGGGTGGGGATGGAAATAGAGATGGGAATGGGGATGAAACAAGTGGCGCAAAGCCGCGGGCTTATATAAACCGTCAACAAGAAATTCGTATTCACAGAGCACAGCTCTTCGCCCTCGAAGAAACAACCTTGTGTCTTAAGGAACGACTTTACCGGCATTCCTTATACCTGACAAGGGAGTATTAATCGCAAGGTAAGCGACCAATTTCTGCCTTTCCTCTTCGCACTTTCGTTCTCTCGTTCTTTCCAAAATAATACGCGAATTCGTTATCTGCTTTCGATCCCTTAATTAATTTTCAACAAACGCGCAATATCGAATCGATTGATATCGATACATTTACAAGAATTTCGTTTCAATGATTATTAAATATATAATGATGAATTTAAATCATTCTATGATTCCAATATAATTATAAGTCGATTCTATGATTTTTTTCTCTCTCGAAATAAAATATTTATTACAAACGAATTATTAAATTATAGTCTAAACGAGATCGAATATTATAATCGATATTTTCTTTTCTTTTGTTCAAGTCTTTTTTTTTCTCTCTCTTATACATTGCTAAGTATATTCGTTTATTTCGAAGTCGAATAAATACAGATAAGCAGAAATGAATGAAAATTCTCTTCTCTATTCTAATGTAAGGTTGGAATATATATACGAAGAAATATTCAATTTCTTATAATAAATTCTTTCGATATTCGGATGAAAATAATTCGCAGCACGTCCGTTACATTTGTTTCGCGACGTCAATTAAACGGTACGTCGACAGGTAATTGGGTTTGTTGTTGCATTTCCTTTCGACATCGCAAAATTCTTCTTATAAATGTATCTTTCTCGTCCATGAAAAAAAATATGAATCACGTTCTAAGAAGAAAAATTTTAAAATTTTCAGAATACTTGTGTTACAAATGCAATTGTCGTTGAACTAGTATAATAAATTTTTGTATCATTCTCGAGTTACCACTTGTAATTTCTAAATCATAATCGAACCGATAAAGGAATCAGAATCGATAAAGGAAACGATGCAACGCGCAGCTGTTCTTCAATTTCTTGAATTTTCATGCTCGATCGAACCGCGATTCACCTTGTTGCGAATATACTTAGTCATCGGATGGAAAGCGGAAAGCGGAAAACGGAAAACGGAAAACGGAAAACGGGGAACGAAAAATAGAAAACGAGATACGGAATATAATACGGAATATGGACTACAGAGAACGTGATACAGAAAATGGGAAACGGAATCACAAAATAAGAAAAATGCAAAGCACGGTAAAAAAAAATAAGAAATAAAAGACAAAAGATTAATAAATGTTATATAAACTAACAATTAATTCCAAATCAATCTTTTATCTATACAATATAATAATATGGTATAATATTTTATTTTTCGATAATTTTTTCAATAGATCTTCTTTTACTTCTCTTCGTAGCATCTTTTTCTTCAACAAGTATATTTATTTCACTTATTTCTCATTTTCTTTTTTTTTTTTTTGAAAAAAAAACATCAGATAAATCCTTCGTAATTCTTTCAAAGATTTATACATTTTCAATTTTTCATGATGTATATATATATATATCCAAATATATTGAATCGTTCTTAACGAATGTAAGTACACGCGTGAAAACGTATCGTCAACATCAATTATCGGAAGCGCTGAATCCAATTATCCCGTGTTACAGCCATTCGGCACGCTCAAAGCGACTCGTGATTGCCTTCCAATAAAATACTAATTGAACGAACATCGATACTATCAGAAATGGAAAGGAGTCGTTATAATCTGAGACGTGTATTACCAACTTCCAGATGTTAATTTCCATAAAGATCAAATTTCTTTATATATACGTATAAGTTTCGAATAATTGTGATCAACGCACAATTGTGACAACGTGTTAAAGATAGAAAAAGAAAAGAAAGGAGGATGTGTATCTTTATTTCGCAAATGGAATATTTTATTAAATTACAATTATTATACGATTTATACATTTACTCGCATATACATGTATTGTAACATTCGTTGCGAATCGAAACAATAAAACGGAGGAATCTACTCGAAAAGTTGGCCACGATCGGTCTTTCCTTCCTAGATTGTCGGTTGAATAGTTTGTTAGCCGCTTTAACCACTGAATGCATCCATTTTCTTTTGAGATAGTGTGAAAAAAGAAAAGTGGTATTGCTATTGCCTTTCTTTTTTCCTTTCTTTCAACTTTTATTCCTTTTTCTATTTTATACTTTTTTTTTTCTTCATATCGATGTGTTAAAAATTTCAAATAAAATTATTAAGATATTAAATTTTTTATCAAATATATATATATATATTTCGATCGAGTATTATTAAATGTATGCACAATAAAATGAATCGATTAATTTTAAAATGAAATCATATTACTTTCAATTCCAGATTTAAAAGAATCATCGAGGATGCAGCAAGGAATCATATCGTTCTATGTACTATTAATGGTTGTGGGTCTTTTCGTGTCGTCTAATCTTTCGACGAATGCCGCACCGTAAGTCTTTTCCGATCGCAATCGATTCTTTCGATTTTTTTTAATAAATCTAATCAATCAATTCGATG